ATATTATTAGGAAAATGGAAATTTATAATATCATTATAGTGAGTGTAATAAATGTAACAGAACATATAAAACATATATATATGAAAAATTTGCTAGGAAAATTAAATATGACATATTATTAGCAGCATACACTGATATAAAAGATTTTTAAAATTAAAATAAGACTTGGCTAATAATGAAGTATATGTTAAATGTCAAATTAATTAATATTAAGACTTATAAATAATGAGGTTGCAGTGAGTATGATCTATATAAAATTTATCTTACGTTCATCTATATATGTATATAAATATATACTATAAATTTGTCTTTGTGTTTTGGTAAATGATGCTAAATCAATGTTTTCGGCTGACGACCTCCGTCAAATTACGTACGAAATATTAGCAAGGACAATAGTGTCGCAAAAGTCCGTTACCAATGAGATATTAGAATGAATACACTCACCACTTCAAAGTAATCCTTTTTTGCCTGGGTAAGGCAAACTTCTTAATCCTTTCCTATTCGTTATAATTCGAAATTAAAGATATTCTAGCATCATAGTTTGTTAAATTGTGACCGATATAGCCATTAAATTTACAGGTTCACGTGTAACTAAAAGACAATTATTTTTTTAATTTAATCGATATAAAAACAATTTCACCAGTAATAGTTTTTGTTAATATTTAGATATTTTATCTTTTGTTATGTGTAATTAACCTTGATTATCTTGTTTGATTAAGTAAAGTGTGCAAATTTGGTTTGCCTCGTTTTGCCGCGTTGTTCACTGAATCAACAAAATGCTCAGACCTGTCTTCCTCTTTCTAATTTTCCCCATCGTTTTGTCTTGGAACAATGAGGAACTTAAAATGTTCGATCTAGTTGAAGGGTCTAAGGAAAGTTTTTATGAATTACTGGGAGTATCAGAGGTATTGATTAGACGATATTTTACATTTAGTCAGCCACTAATGTTGAAATCAAAAAAGCCTACCGAAAACTATCGTTGTCAATGCATCCAGATAAAAATTCGGAAGATCCAGATGCTCACGATAAATTTCGTCAATTGGTTTCTATTTATGAAATCCTTAAAGATGAGGAACTAAGACAAAAGTAAATTCTTAATATTTCAACTATTATTAGATATGACGAGGTGCTAGAGTATGGCTTGCCCTCCTGGAAGACGCCTGTATTTTATTATCGAAAAGT